ATTTTAGTGTTAGAAATGTAAATATGGACACCACCTTTTGTTTCATATTTTCAAAGTTTTTATGCTAAGTAAAACATGTATTTTTAACAGTGTACAAAGGCTAAGGTAAAATGCCTATTTATTCTTAGTATTAACTTATAAAATTAACATGTGTTTCATATTAGAGTAATAAGATACATAGATGTAAAGTGATGTGTTGATTCTGGGTGTGTTTTTGCATAGTGGAAATCATTGTTGTTAAGAATATTTGCACAAACTTTTGTTCCTACCTGTGATGATAGCTCTTTGTAGCTCTTTCACAGCCTTTAAACTCATTCAGGGGCTTGTATTCCTTTGCCTCATGTGGAATAGTTTCCTAAATAAATTATTTTCTTGCAGATGCTACAATCACCTGAATGTGATGCTTTTAAGAGGCAGCCTAGGGAGTAGATTGCAATGCCATCTCCTTTACTTTCGGGGAGGTGCTTACACACATCCATTGACAGCTGCATTGCTGCTTATATGGCAGATCCCTTCGTGTCACAGGCTCTGTCAATTCTTTTCACAGTGTCACCTGAGCCTTTTGATTCAGTTGCTGAAGACCATGACAAAGCTTTGGCCCTGAGTTGGGGCAAAACAGATGAAGAACAGGAAAAGAGTATTTTTTTGTTTTGTTTACAGGATTGAACCATGCACAGGTTAAAGGAATTAGTCTGAAGTCATGCAGGAAATCTTTGGCAGTGGGGGACCTTGCTAGTCTCAAACCTGATCTACACATAAGGATTCAATGATGTAAATACACCACTAGATGAGCTCCATCAGAGCTTGTTCCCAGGACAGAGACAGGATGTGCAGCGTTGACTTTTCTCTGAGAAATTTTAAAATATTTTGATGTTTTTAGAAGGTATTTTTCTAGAATAAAGTCTTTCCTGCTGTTATTAATTAACTGGTATTTGCAACTATGCAGTCTAAGCACATAGAGAGGAAACAATGCCGAGGATTGCTAAGACTGTATTCAAAAATAAACTAAAGGTATCTCCTGTTTTACATTAGTTTTTCATTGTAGTGTTAATATCAGTAAGTTAAAAAAGATAGGTGCTAAAATTAGCTTCGTATATCTTTTGACTTACATTTGTACATTTCAAAAAAGCAGAGAACGCCTTTTCCCAGCTCTTAAATGCTCAGAAAAATGTGTCAAAACTGAGTAAATAAATATTTGAATTTGGAAACTAATAAATTGGAATCATAAAGTCCTTAAAAAGTTTCTTACAGGCTGTTTAGAATTTTTACATATCTTCTAATAGGACATGAAGGTTATTTTGAGCTACTCTTACTGTATACTAAGCAGTTTCCTTAGAAGCTGTATGTGCTTCTAAAGCACAAACTGTCCAGTAGAATTAAGTAAATAAGGGTCTACTTTCACCTTGGGCTGATAAAATCCTTTAATGTTTCAAGACTTTAGAGATAATTGTATCAGAATGTGTAAGTTTGTATTTGCTGGGTGGATGATTTCCAAAATTATTAATATCATCAAGGTTTTTATAAATAAAGTGTAACTGAGCTAACAGGTTTTTTGTATGTTTTTCATTTTTATTTCTCTAGCCTCCAAAACTCTTATAAATAGCATGCTACGGGACCCTTCTCAGATTCCAGATGGAGTGCTAGCAAATCAAGTCTATCAGGTATTAATCACACTTGTTTTGTTTGGTTTGGGTTTTTTTTCCTGTGGCAATTCTGTTATCTGCCTAGCAGAGTAAAAGATTTTAAACCTCATTTAATTACTGTCATCATAAACTATCAGTGAGGTCAGAGTGCACTATAAATGGCAGTGCAATATTTGTGAGGGGAGCATTTCACTTTTTAATAGCTTGCTTTTATAGTGAATAAAAGCATGCAGTTTTTGTTTTCTGTGATTAAATCTGAACAGCATCTGATAGCCTTTTTGAGGAAAAGTAATTACTGTTTTTAAGATACTCTTTAACTATAATGGTTTTGTAGTTGCCCATCAGTATACTACTTCTCTTATTTGTCTGCAGTGTACTGTGAATGACTGTTGTTATGGACCACTGGTGGACTGCATCAAACAGTATCCTTTCCCATAAAATTTTAGGTGCACAATTGATGAGCTTAGACTGTGTGGAAGAGATGTGTCTAGCTTTAACCTGACATAAAGTTCTGCTTCACAAAACACATTTCATACTCCTGTCTTTTACATTCAGTCAGCTAGAGGGTCACTGCAGAGCTTTCTCTTAACTAACAAAAATCAGATGGACCATGGGAGGATGTCAGTTCGCTGGTTATACATTCATATATATGCCTCATTGAACCTCTGTGGTTTTGATTAGTTGAAATGCATATCTGGTTTTTGCTTAAGACTAAGTGACCATGCTTTGAGTGGTGGAGTTGGACTATATGATCTCTGGAGATACCTTCCAATCTCAGTTATTCTGTGATGAAATTAATAAGTTTCATACATATTGTTGAACATTTTGGCTTTGCTTTGTTATGAATATGAGTTTTAACTGAAATTTTTTCAAGTGCAGTTCAAGTGTGATTGACTGATTAGTATTTTTAAACTCCTACCTGACACTCCAGCGCAGTTATTTTAATTTCTCTTCTTCATAAAGGGGATTAAGCTGTAGTTAAAAACTATAAAAATATCCTGAATGTTCGGGGATTTTTTTTTATAGTGTTGAAATAATTAATTAGAGAGCCATATGGTATGTACACTGAGGGAATTCCGTGTGGCACTGAATGTTCCAGATTAAGATTATAATTTGGTAGGAATGATCACCAAGAACCCAAATCTATTTTAATAAAATCTTGCAGGAGCAGCTCTTCTGTTTCAATCTACAGTCAAAGGAAAACTTTCAAAATCATGGTCCGCTGTCCCTGAGCAGGCTAGTAAGGTAGTTCCTTCCCAAGTCCTAGAGAATCCTTGCATAAATCTCTGCATGCAGTTTGGGGGAAAATCTTGGTTTCACTGTCCAGCGAGATGGGAAAGCTGCAGTGATGTTTAGCTATTAGTGAAAAACAGCACTTCATGTAGTTGCGATACACATGATTGTCACTCCTTAAAAATACTTTCTTTCTGCTAGAAACACTTGTGTCTACTACAGCCTTAGCCCTGCCCCCATTAATTTTAACACCAGCAGGAGAGAGTTCTAATTGTCTTTGTATTTTGTGCTTTTAATTTGTAATTTTAGATATTCATTGAGATTATCTTCACAATTAAACAAAGTGCTCTGAAAGTGGATTAATCTAATAAGCCACACATTTTAAATGGTTGTTGATCATTGGTTTTCATATCCGGAATTTTAAGATTAATATTTTGTGGATGAGCAATCTGGCTGTAGTCTTATGAAAGTGCCAAGCTTAAAAATAACAAAGACACATATGTAGAATTATGAACCATTTTAAAGACTTATTTGCCTGCAATCTAGAAAAGACTTTTATATCCTCTTCATATTGTGGCTCAAATCGGTTGTTGAATATGCAGTGACGTCAATGAGAGTAATGAAGAGTTTTTCAATTCCATTTTGGTACAGAAAAGTTTAATACTAAGCTGTGTGAGTGCATTACTGTATGTTGCTGAATTAGATGTTAATTTTGAGGTGCATAAAATAGTTAAAAATCAATTTAAAGTTAAGGTTTTAAAAGCATAATGTCTTCTGAAGGATTGCATATTGATTTTAAATATAACTATCTAATTGTATATGCATGGACCAAAGTATGAAGTCAACCTCTTTGTAAATGCCAAGAGGCTATTTTTCAGTAATAGTTCAGATGCTTACGGGAAACTAGGCTGCTAGATTGCATGAGTAGAAAATGGCTTCTGATGTTATTTACAAGTTTTGCCCCATGGTCATTGCCATACATCAATAACAGGTATTATTATAGACTAAGTGTTTTTGCTTATGGTGCATTGTAAATTCTGTTTGCAATATTTTTCCTACCTTTTTGCCATTCTTCATTTGTCCCTTTTGTTCTGAAATTGCTAGTAGAATTTAACATAATACATAGTTTCAATTTATATAAGCTGTATATACATGTGAAGTGATTCCATAGAATAATTTTTTTGCTGTTCAATATGAAGGGTTCATATAAGTTAATTACTTAACTGTAATAGTAAGATGATCTGTAGTTTAAGAAGTGACTTTAAACAGAATTTGGAGCTTAACTGCTTTTAACGTAAGATCTTTTATCATATTTTTCCCTAGGATTCTTCTTAAAAGCTTCCAGAATAGAACTTTGACCTCCAAGAGGATATATTAAAAATATTTCATATGGTGATTGTTTTACATATTCCAAGGAATAGGACATTGGATCAACAGGCTGTCGGTGAAGTGAAAAGGACTTCACTGTAAAATATGATTTTATCTTTCCCTGACATTAGTTCATGCTTCTGAAAAATCAATTAAAAGGATGGATTTTTTACAGTAAGATGTTTCAGATGAATGTATTACCTATCATTTTCAAAATATAGAGAAAGAAAACCAGTTTGTTTCGTCCTTTGCTGGATTGGAGAATTGGTCGCTTGTCAGTAAAGTGCAACTTTAAAGGTATTTTACTGCAGGTTTTAGGATCACACTTTCTTTTACATATAGAAGAATAGACAGTAAAGAAAAAAAATTGAAATACTGCCCTTAAATATACTGAATAAATATGGTTAAATGGGTCTTAATTCTATAAAGTGTATGCTGTTGGTACAATAATCTGATTTTTGCAAAGTTGTGTATGCGTCTAAAAATCACTATAAGGATTTTAAAAAATTGGAATTCATATCATTGGGCACTTCTGAAATGCAGATGAAGGCAAATAAATTCACTTTGGATGTTTCTATGAAGTTTCTTCTTTTCCAAAGTAATCTTGTATTTCTTAACCTAAAGCTATCAGTGCTATTGGGCATGAGCACGAAGTCTTGCTGCGAGAAATGCTTTTGGAAAAAAATCTCTCTTTCATAGGTAAGAATCTGTAGCAGAGGCTATCCAGTGAATTCTTAACTTCAGAGATGTTTGTAACTGTTTATCTATGACAAAATTCAGCCCCAATGCTCCTTATATTAGGTAGTAAAGGAAGAGTAAAATATGATTGATGCTATATATGTTATCTTTTATTGATTTAGAACTGAGCAGGAACTCAGTTACCTAATACCCTATATATACAGCACATGCACAGGCTTGCAATTAATATTTTATAGAATAAGTAGTTGAAAAACATGCTTTAATATCTGCTGCAGTATTACTTTTGGTGTCATGAGATATTAGCCATAATCCAGGCCTTATGAGATTTAGGAAGAAGCATATGAAATATTAGCTTCAGAATGCTTTATGTATTAAAGAACTGCTAGAAGATTCACTCATTTACCTTGCTGTGCAGTTTCTGCTGAATTTTTGCCCTCTGCTTCCCAATTAATGCAATTACTCTTTTAACACTCCCAATTTTTAAAGTTATTTTTGGGATTGATTAGTTAGGAAGTTACTTTCATTTTTTTCTTTTAGACTGCAGTATGTTTCTTTTAGCCTGCAGTGTGTTTCTTTTACATGAGTGCCATTGAAACAAAGATTAATATTCAGTGTCCGTTCTGTAAATGTGATTGCAAACAGTGACTTCTTAAAGCATGGATTCCTTATGTAATGAGACAGTGAAGTGAAATGCTCTCTTCTGTTAATGGTTGGGCATTGTACTAAATTTGTGTGACTTTTGCTGGGTTTACCTGGAGCTATGATTTCTCCTGAAGCTATATCAGGTTAAGATTTTGGAAACCTTAAACAAATTTAAGAAGTTAGAAGGCATTATTAAACTTTTTAAGACATTTGTCCGCATGATTAAGGAACAGAATTAGTGTTCTCTTTTATTTTAGAGAAAAGTGAAAAAGGAGAGGATTAGTTACAAGCTTGCAAATGACACTATGAAAATACGAAGAGGCAAATTTTCTTATTTGACTGTAAGAGCGTAGATATAGGTAATAGGCTTAAGCTGTAATTGCAGAGATGATGGTTAAAAAAAACAAGATAAAATACCAAACAGTTCTAGGAACAATAAATGTAAAACAAACTGCCAGGAAAGGTTGTAGAATCACCTTCAATGAAAAATTCAAGGCTGGATTTGACACTCATCTATCAAAGCTGATAATGAAATCAATTCCATCACGATATGAGGGAATGGACTGGATGACTCACTAAGGGATCCTCAACCCAATGAATTATCATTTTATTTGGCTTGTGTGAGCTTAAGAATTATAGAAATCACATTTGAATTTTACTGTTTCATGACTTTGTATAAGCATCAATTTTTCCTTTAGAAATTAGCTCCAAGAAATTTGTGCTATCAAATTAAAACATCTAGAATGCATTAACTTCTTAGAATATGAAGATAGAAATGGGAGAGCTTAATTTGTTGTTCACATTCTATATATAGTGAAGTATTGTTTAGTCATGATTTAAGATATGTTAAGATTTGTATTTATTATGTCTGTGATCATGTATCTACTTCATATCTATACATGTTTGGGATATTCTTAGAAATAAAACTTTCCCAATATCTGCAAGATGAACCCTACCAAGTCTCTTGCAATACAACCTTTCCTTTCCAAAAACCTAGTTCCAAAACTGCTTGAAGAAAACACCATAAAAACAGAAGAGATGCCAGTATTTCCCATAGGTCTAAAAATTCAGGCTTTGTTGCGTAATACTTCATTCCTGTTTTGAAGAAGGCTTATGATTTACATGGCTTATGGCTTGTAATTCCATTACTTTTTAACATGTTTCAAAGAAACAGAAATTTTGCAGTTCCCATATTAGTGGGAATTCCCATATTCCATTTCACTGCTTCAAGAATAGTCAGAGAGTTTGTATCAGATGTGTTCACCTGAGCAACAGAGAGTCTAGTACAGGAGAGGAAAATACAGTCACAGGACACAGTGAATATCAAGTGCCTCACTATAGTCTTAGAGCATGAAGCAGCTTTTTAGGTTCTGGACAGAATTTTCTAGAGCAGCTGGCTTTCCAAGCCTACAGATCAGAAGTAATACCTTCAGAGTCACCCTGGAATTGACTGGAAACCTATAGACACTAATGGGGATTACATTTTATTAATCCACTCTTCATAAGAAGTGCTTTATATACCATATCCTCTCTTCAGCAAAAACACAGCTCTCCAGTCTTTATCACTTGGCCTGCTTGAGATTAAAGTGATCAATAGAAGCATTTTATCAAAATAGGCTCGCAGCTTCACATGCCATACTGAAATGGCAGGAGCTTCTAAGTTCTGTATAGGAATTTTATTTTTGTATCTTTACCATGAATATGTTAGGAAAGCTTTTAGATATATGGGGAGGTATTGAGCTTTATCCTCCTTTGATTTCCACCAGTAGATATAAATCATGAAATCTGATCAGTGTTTTCTGCTGTAATCTTAAATTTGCAGTTGTAGCTCATTCATGCATCAGCAGAGGAGGGCTAGTAGAAGAACAATGATGTGTTAAATGGTTCTGATTGAGTGTGACATTATGGTAAAGATGAATCTGCAGTTTTGTTGAAAATCTAAATTAATGGGGTATCTGTTGACAAACTACTTATTAGGGCTGTTTCCACATAATTTTCAGACCTGAGGATTTATAAATGTAACTGTCAAAACTGCTGTGGGCTGGCTTTCAAGCAGTTACTGAATTATTTTTTAATCCGTGCTGGAGTTTAAAGATCTTTTGAGGTGCAGAATGCTGCCTCTGTAGTTTCTGGAGCAATGTGAAAACATACCTGGGCTGAAATCTAGTACTTATTTTTGATGGTGTTATGGTTTAAAACAAAAATTTTATGGTGATTGTGAGGAGTTTGGGTAATTATTTCTTCCCCAGGGTTATAAAGCTCTAAAACACTTGGAGAAATACTAATGCAAAGCTCTGTTTCTGCACATGACAGATACATCAATAATAAACATGGTTTTTAATATGTTTTCCAATGTTAATCACAGTATGGAATGCTAGGAGAAACCACATGAAGACATTTAGAACCAGATATAAAACAAAAATCATGTTCTTTTCCTCGCCATGAATTAGTATGAAAAGATTTTAAAAGTATTTGGGCACCCTTGAAAAAACAATCTGCTGAAGAATATTAAAAGTAATGCTGATACAGATTCCAGTTCAGAGACTTGCCGTGTTGACCTATGAAACATGTGTTTACATCTGTTTTGGATTTCAGTAAGTTTTTTAAGGTGCATTTGCCTTATTTTGTGGTACTAGCATTTGTTAGATGTGAAAGAAAAGACTGGCCTTTCTATTACTATTGCTCTTAAACGAAAAAAAATTCAGCTGGGACTTCCTATTGTCTATGCTAGATTATTTTAAACAATTAAGAGCAGGTTGCTCTTAATTGTTAAATTAAAGTTAATTAAATTTGTATAAAATTGTTTTGTTGGTTTTTTAAAATAAGGGTTAAAAGATTACATAGAACATTAATTCATTTTTATATTATGGCATAAAACTTTCTATTCAGATGTTCTGTTAAATTAGAACTTTCTCAATCTTAACATGATTTGTATACTTGACAATTTAAGTTTCAAAAATTAGTCAAAAACCAAATCTGTTTCCAAATCCTAGAAATGTTTTTCATTATCTTATCATGTGATAAGAGTCGTAATTTTGTTTTATGTGATAATGAATTGCCACATTGCAAAGACTTATATTTAGTGTAGTGTGTTTATAGTGAAGAAATGCTCTCAAAATTAAAAAAAAAATTATAGTACCACTCAAAAAGAATAAACACCTATTGCAGTTTACACTGACGTGAATGTTCAGCTTTCCAAATTTACTTCTGTCCCAATTTCAGAATTAGTTCACTGTATAAAATACTTCAGAATTACATTCTTCAATGAAAAAGGGTGGGAGGGTTTGATTTTGGCAATATTACAGTATTTTGATTTCTAAGTTAGTACGTTTTTCTTGTCATTAAAATGTTACTTGGACTCAAACTGCTGACCTTTCAGGATTTGCACAAAGTATTCAAAAACTGAGTTCTGAACATTGGCCATGAAACTACTGTCCTAACCTGATAAATGGATTGGAAATAAGCTACCCAACAGTGAGAATGGACCATTAATTTTAATCAAAGGTGATGTAGAAAGGCGAATGGGATGCATGACAATGTCAACAGCCCAGTAGGTGTTAAGGGGCTACACAGCCTTACTTGTTACTAGGTAGTGCCATTAGTTGAGCTTGGGTGAAGACAGAAAGCCATGCCTGGAATTGAATGACCAGGTCACTCCAAATTCTAATGGAGAAATGGTGTTTCAGAAATACCAATGTAATGGTATCAGAAATCAAGGACAATAGTTTAAAAATATTAAGAGGTGGCATGGGCTTTTTTACTTTCTTCTTTTTTTTCGTTTTTTTTAAAAGGGAGCTTCTTTTCCCTTTTGCAGTTTTGTCTTGCTCATTCATTATTATTTATTGAAATACTCAGCTCTTAATATTTTTAAACAATAAAGTTGTAGACATAATGTTAGCAGAATGTCTAAATCTATGTTCAGAAACTGGAAAAATTCTACAGAATCCAGAATGCAAAAGAAACTAAAATTATGGTTCTTCTTTGCTTTAATAAATTTCTGGGAGAGAAGGCTTTTCTTGCTCTTTTTCTTTAACAATTTTATGCTAAAATTAAAAATAAAACCAAGGCAGCAGCAACCGTATATCTACGTTTGTGGTGCTGGTAGGATTAATCTTAACACATCCGAAGGTGGAGAGACTCTTCTTTCAATCAGTGAATATACCTCTTTATTTTGAATATTTGGAGGTTATAAAATACTGTATGACAGCTTGAATTAATGATGTTTATAATGAAGACATAAAAATGCAGGGATGACAAAGAAGCATTTTTATATCCATGCTTCAGGTTTTCTACAAAGGTTCATTTAATCTGACACAGCATTGCATGCATAAGAAAGATATGTATGACTGCATTAGTAATTCTTGCACTCTTATTTAGAATAAAATTAATTATGCTGCTGTCTACTTAATGGAATAGTTTCATAAACAGTAGTTCTTATTTTCTATGTGCAGCTGAAGATCAGCTTCGTGCAAAGGGTTATGACAAAACACCAGACTTTATTTTAGAAGTGCCAGTAGGTAAGTCTTTCAAAAGAATTTTTATTATTTTGTGTAGAAGTACTCATCTAAAATATTATGGCTACTTAAGTGAAGCATATTCTAGGATACTGTAAATAAGTCTCTTCAGGAGTTACTCAATAATTCTAAGAACTTGTAGTTTGAGTCAGAGAGGTTTGATCCTAAATAGTGTTACCCAGTCTTTCTTCTTTAGTCTCTGCATGTTTTTATCTCATTAACAAAAAAAGGACAAAAAAACGACACTAAAACCCCCCAAATCCCTGCTCCCACTAGTGTATTCTGCCCACTGCCATTCTGAACTAAACTCTGAAATAGCTAGAAATGTCTTTTACTTCTAGATCAAATCAGTTCATAGTCTTAAGATTATTACATTACACCTGTAGGTCATTGCATAAAGGTTTGTTATTGTGCAGTTATTCTTTTACCATCACTTTGCATCCAGATACAACTCTGCAGTTCTTTACTGTTTTTTAAAAGCCTGAATGGCAAGAAAGAATAAGGGAAAAAAGTATAAAGGTCGTGTTAAGTTCATCTGCCTTTTCTGGTCTTGAGGCCATGTGACAGCACTTGAATATCAGCAAGGAGGGACTATCCACAGTCTTTCTAGGTAGCGTGTGCCTATGCTCAGCACCCTCATAGTGAAAAAGTGGTTGCTGATGTTCAAGTGGAGCCTCCTGTGTGTAAGTTTGTACCCATTGCCACTGGTCCTGTTACTGGCTGAAAAGAGCCTGCCTCCCTCTTTACCTGCTCTTCAGAAAGTTGCATACATTAGTAGGATTGCCCAGTAATGTGGACCATAATAAACACAGTACACACATGGTGCTAAGGGTACCCACTTTTATATTAGAAGCGTGAGGTTATATTCCACCTGTTCAGGAGCCTGATCAAAAGGAAACTAGAAAAGCAACTATTTTTTTTAATTCTTAAGAAGGGAAACCAGGGAACACCCAAAAGATATATTTTTGTATTATTACCCTATTAGAAAGAAGGTTAAAAATAGTAGTAATTCATTTGCATATATTTGTCTCAAATTCAAATAATAACAGTGCATTACTTCTTTCAAGTTAATGTAATCACCTGAGACTTACAGGAAATCATGTTCTACCTGTTGTCTGAACTAATGTATAGCAGTCCTTGGATTCTTTTCTTCATGACTGAGTACAAACCTAGGAAAGGCAGATGTTTCTTAGAATTAGCATCTGAGCTGATTTTACCTCAGCTGTTTTATCTCCTGGGGTCTAAAGGTGTTGGGGTGGGGAAGGATGTAGTAGTGTGGGCCTACACAAGCTAACTGGGTTACTGAGAGCAGGGCAGTGGTGGCACATGTAGCTTAGTGTGGTGACTTCATGAGTTATTTTCCCAGATTCCCTGAGTAATTTTGCAGTCTGTGGTCAATCATATGCTGCTGTAGCCTCTTGTAATCTTTCTGTGTAGTGCTTCTAGGTTTGCATGCTCTCTGAAAACCTCATTCCAAGTTAAATTTATGCCAAGGCATCATGGTTATGGATATTGTAGATAACTCAAAATAGCCATAACATTTTTAAAGATCTTAACAATGATACCTAACAACACCTTTTTGGAGAAAGAATGATTTCTTCTGTTCTTCTGCAAAATTATATTGCCGTTAGGAAAGGACATTGCTTTTTCAAAAAAAAAAAAAAATTTTTATTAATATTAGTAGTTCACTCCTGCAAGAAATTATGAGGAAAGACATGAACCAAAGCAAATACCAAAGCCTAGAAACAAAATCACATTTTTTCACACAAGCCTTCTTACTCTTAACTTTTCTGATGAAGCATTACTGGTTTTACAAAAGAAAGGAAGCAGACACATGTCCAGGATAAATTTCCTTCCCTTTCTTGTACCTTCCATTCTGGATTGGCGGCAAGTGTCTGTAGCTGCTTATCTAACTATTTTTATCATTCAGCAGAAATTTCCAATTTCTTACCTGACAACTACCTTCCAGCAAAGTAAGGGTAGTAGAAGAATACAACTGCTTCTTAGTCTAATCTCTTTTTTTTATATACTCTTTGCATTAGAATAAATGCAGATATGTGGAACAGGGTGTAATTAAACTGAAATTCATGTGATTATCTGTTTAAAGTATTTTCTGGTATTTTTTTTAAATGCCCTATGTACATATTTGAAAGAAAATTTTTACAAATATGTAATGTGGTTGCAAGCATGAATTATGTGGTAGATTGTGGAGTAAATAGAATGTTCCCTAACACAGTCTTACAGGCTGTTGAGTGTCATTTTCAGAGTTCAGTTTGTTTTTTGCTGTCACCCTAGCTGTGGAAGGACACATCATTCACTGGATTGAAAGCAAAGCCTCATTTGGTGATGAAAGTAGCCACCAAGCCCACTTGCAGGACCAGTTTTGGAGCTACTGGAACAGGTATGTTTCTGTTCGTTTTCCTTGCAGATAAATAGGACTTCATTTTAAAAAGAAGTTATCGGATAAAACACTACTGACTCTACATGTTATTAATCTGACACTTTGAATGTCATTAATTAGCATTTCAGGTTGGTGTGCTGAAATATTTATGAAAAATTGAGATCTTAATTTTTAACGTGCAGCAAAAATACATGGTGATTTTACAGTGATGCTAGAGTAAGTGATGTTGGTACAGAAGTTATATGCCAGTTTTTTAATACCTAACTTAGAAGGAAGATTTTGCTGTAATGTTATGGAATATGTACAAAGTGACAAATTTGTTAAAATATCTTCCCAGTCTAACCAAGTGGGATTTGTGTATAAAGGACATTATTGCTCATTGTCATTGTAAGTAGGACAGTACTGTTTCACAGTGAGTTTTTTTTAATGAAGTATTTCTTTTGTACATTTGAAGAAATAATTACAATTATCTTCAAGTTGAAAATGTAGTAAGTATTTGCAGTTTAAGGGGGAACAAAAGTTTTACTAGACAGAATTTTGTGGGATGTTGATGGTATTGGTGTAAAGATATTTTCTCTTAAATATGGTTAAAATGCTTCTGCTTTATTGTTCTAAAAGTCATTATTGTGTATATTTATAAATCTTTATATGGTACTAGACACCTCCTCTCTAGACACCTCCTCACCTCCTCTTTAAAGAATACTAAACACAATGCTTCATCTTCAATGCCATTTTTCTATGTATTAAAACCCTAAGCAAGATAGTGAGGCAAATTAAACCTTTAATATCAGATTGTTTTAAAACATAAATTTAGAAGTCTTCTCAGTGTCCACAGGAGACCATCAGAGGGATAGTGGAGAACATGGCACAAGTGTGTGAACGTGCAACAGTCTCTGTTCCAATATCAGAGCCTAGTCTGGTGACAATCAGTATTTCAGCTGAATATGAAAATTGCTAGCATTACCTTTGGAAATACCTTAAAAGCAGGTTCAATAGAAAGCAGCAGAGAAAGGGAAACCAGATCTTAACAATAACATCATTTAAGTGCATAATTAGGCTCTGCAGCAGCATTCTTGATTGATAGAAAAAGGACCTGCTCTTACTTGGCAATCTCAGAAAGCAGAGAGTTGGAAAGCTTGAATCAAGGTAATGGGAAACTTGGAAGGCTGTCAATTGTTGGATGATGATATTGTATTCTAGAAGAGTTGTAGAAAGTAAATTGTGAAACACTGAATGTAAAACTTAGAAAGAAATTTGAGTACATATGATATCTAGGCAAATGGTGAGAATAGCAGGAAAGATTGTGATGCAAACATTGCTGACCTGCACATCAGTGTAAAGGAAATGGAGCAGCTCAGGCTAGGAGAAGACCATTAGATGTACTGGAATACTTTCTGAGTGTACAGGGTGTGTTTGAAGGCATCCATTATGGTGTCAAGAGAGGAGCACCTCCAAGAAGTGAATTTCAAACTGATAGCTTGAGTTTAAAGATACTAAGTTGAGATGTACAAAAATGTTTGATTCTTTAGTGCAGTGAATTTGCATTCATTTAAAGGAAGCTAGAACTCTTCATAATAAGATTAGTTGCACCCTAAATCAAAAATTTAGGTTAATTATGGAAATTAGGCAGATTTCTGTGGGTTTTTTTAAGGAATAAATCCTGTTAGTTTTAATTTTGGTACTGCTTGGCCAAGCTGACAGAGCCACATCTTCTGAAATGAGTTCTGAATTACTGTAGTTTCTAATAAAATGACAGTTGGGTTAATGAACACATGTTGACAGATTGGGTTGCATGTAGGTTAGAGAGTTAAGTTTCATTGGTCTCTGGAACTATTTATATGAAAGAACACAGTTGTAACTGCACAAACTGTGAACCAATTTTGTATTATTTTATCAGTCTATGCAGAGGTCTTTCAAGAGACAACCAGATTCTCAGTCAATTCACTACACCTTTGTGTCTCACTTCCTCTTGAAAGAGAAATTATTTGGAGAACAAGCAAGAGTTCACAATAGAGTTGATATGACGCTCAAGTAACAGTTTAGGATTTTTTTAACCTGATCCATTGGTTGAACTTGAAGCAGAAATGAAATTCAAGAGAAAATCTGTATCATCTGTTAGATGTGAAGAGAAACACAAATCTAGATACTTTGAAAGGAATGAAAGTGAGAGGATTTAGACCTTTTCTGTTCAGCTTTTTTATTGCTTATCTAAAAATTGTGAGTCAACCTGGAAAAGTTTCTGTGTTCTTTTCTCACGTCACAGATGTAAGATGAATTTTATTCAGAATCTGACTGAAAACTTTGAACATAGCTGGGGCTTCTTTGCTGTTATGTGTGTATTTCATTAAATCCTGTACTTTGTGCTAACTAAATCTGTGAGTGTCTTAAATTGGTCTGTACTGACAGGAAAGAAATGGCACTTTCTCATTTAACAGAACAGCTCCCTAGATGCAGTCAACCATGTCTGTTCACCTCAGTGCAGAAGAACACCTTTTTATTACTCTGAGTTCTGCAGGGACAGCTTAGCAAGGTTTTTTATGGCTCATACATCAATGGTATTGTTAAGCAATTTTCAATTGCAGTGGTGCACTGCAACCTCATCTTCAAATTAAGCTTCACATTAAAAATGTACAAAGTGTACCTTGTCAGTGGATTTGCACAGTTATAATTTAAGGTGTTGTTTAGATATTGAGATTTTTCAATAATAAAGAAACATGTAAAGGCAAGTTTGGTCTTGCATATTCCCAGATTGATTTTGCAGAGTTATGTTTTGGGAAAAAAAGCTATTTTATATACTGGTCAAACTTGGTATGAAGTGATTAATATACTTCCCTCAGTATGTTTATTCCTTCGGAGTGGTGGCATCCACTGAGCAGACTGTAGCTTACACTGCTACTGGGTAAACAAAGAACCTCCATGTATAAAATACAATTGCTTTGTGCACAAGTAGTAGATACCACAGTTTTCATTTTTCACTGGTCTACATTGCTGAATTTGTTGTAACTATGAGAATAAAAGCTATTGAATTGTTAGTGTGACCAAAGGTAATTTGGAGAGTATCAACAGCAAGTTACACAGATTGCATTTTAAAATGGGGTCTGTGAACATGTTGTAAATTATTTTAGGGTTTAGATGAATGTTGCTGTTTCTTTTTCTTTTCTCCATAGTGCCTGATTTTATAACTTTTTTTAAAATTAAATTAAAAATTGGAGTCCTAGCTGTAAAAGTCTGTTAGTCAGAGCTGACAGGCATGACTACTGTTTTCTAAGGATATACAGATCATCAACACATGGTTCAAACAGTAATTAGTGGGTGCACTGTCAGTGACTTGCTGTAAGATATAAACTCAAATACAGCAATTTAAATTTTCTATCTTGTTCAAGCATGGCTAAGGCATATGTACAGTCTGGAATGTGATTTCTGGAGAGTCCCAGGAGATAGCTTGACGTCATTATTAGCTAAAGAAACTTTACTATAGGTGAGGAAAAGCATATGAAAATGTCATATTTGACACTGTTATAAAACTAAAGGCAATTTCACATAGTGAAAAAGAAGCATTTCATCTTCTCTTTGAATAAAAATGGTAAGTCATCTCTCTACTAGATTCCTTCCAGCATTTGTTTTTGTTCTAAATGTTTAGTCCTCTGCTTCTGCTTTTTTGAAAGAATAAATAAAAGCAAGTTTCTTGTAAGTAATTTTAAAATAATAATCACACTTTTTGGAAGCCTAAATTCATGATTCATTTTGTTGTTAAAAGGTGCATTATGCTTAATCTTGAGACTTCAGTTCATGGCTATAAGTCATAGTAAAATTATTAAATTATCATAGAGCCCTGTCAATTAATAAAAGGGTATTTAATTCAGATAAGTACAAACAGAAATGATGCAAAATATTGTATTTCACAACACAAACTCAGATAATGTGTTCCTTGTTTTTTGTGAGAAAAGTTTTGCATTTAAATTCATTTACAGTTGACAGTAAGGATGAATTCTTTGTGAGCAAAGTCTGAATCAGGAGATCAGAATTACAGGCATTTTTTGCTGTTTACCTCTTTAAATTGGTTTAACAGGTTACTGTGAAGACTGTTGAAGTAAAAAGTGATGTCTGATTGTAGGGGAAGAGGGAGATTTGCTGTGGGTTTGTGCATGTCTGTTACATTAACAAGTTTAGTATTCTTCAGTTGCAGATGGTTTAAAAAATTGTTTTGGTGAGTTGGAAACCATTGTAGCAACTTGACTTGGAAGAAATCTTGGGAGTTACTGTTGTCAAGTGGCTAGGAAAACTGTTCATGCATACCCAGTATACAAAGCAGCCCAAATATAAAGAATGAAAGGTCATTCTTCTGGAAGTATGATGGTTTGTTGACATATTTTGACACACTGGTACAATGCTGAAAGGTTTTGACCTTACTGCTACACTGGGGGACTTAGGGTTTGTTTAGCTATCTAATGCTTGTAGATTTTCACACATGCTGTGTTTTGCTGGGCTCCTTTTTCTCTCCCTTCTGGCTCCACTTGAATTACTAAATTAATCTTAAACAAAATAGGATGTAGATAGAAGAGAGAGTTGAGGGTGATTTTTACTGCTTAGGACTTTATATAGTAAGTTTCTTCAAAACTAATTAACTTTTTTTAAGTGAATTACTATGCCAACTTGCTAACCTTAGCAGCACTGAGTAAGATACATTTGTTTATAGACAAGAAGAGAACCAAGAGCAGTGAAAAATGCTATTTTCCACTACTTTTCTAGTAGAAAATGCAGTAGTATACTTTGTGAAGATGATAAAATTCTGTGTTCTTCTGCAAGAATAACAATACAAGTGTAATATATGTATTGCACGCACAGAAACACATACAGAAGCATATCTCTGCACTTTGCAAAGTCCTGGATACATTCAGCCTATCTCCAATAGCATTTCATTTTAATTACTTTTGTCTTTATTTAATGACACATGAACAGTATAAAAATCAACATGTATCTTTTGCAATTTTTTTTTTTTA